TAAAATATTTTATAGCATTTAAATGCCCAAATGCAAATACTATAAGAATTAATCCAATGACCTTAAGATGTCCTAGAAAAATGTGCACCATTTTTGTCAAAGGTTTTAACCCAAAACAAAAAGGGTGGGCTTTTTTAGAAGGGCATTTCAGGTTCATTGAAAAAGTTTTTAGTAAACCCTAGTTGTTCCAGGGGGGTGCTGGGGGTTCTGTCATCCCCATTTCAAATTTAAAATAAATTTAAACATGATGCACATGTTCAACCAATCCTAATGCATGACTAACACAGGGATGTGACACTATCACACATAAACCTCCTTATATCTTCCTCAAAACAGCCACCATACCTACCTATTATGGCATTTCCATAGCCATTCCGAGATATATATTGTCATGCAACTTTCCACCATTTCATTTATGACACACTTCACCATTGTCATATTGTCTTGCATGATCATGTGTTGACATCGTATTTGTGGCAAAACCACCATGTATAATTTATCATACATGTCACTCTTGATTCATTGCCCTTCCTGGTACACCGCCGGAGGCATTCATATAGAGTCATATTTTGTTCCAGTATCGAGTTGTAATCATTGAGTTGTAAATAAATAGAAGTGTGATGATCATCATTAATAGAGCATTGTCCCAAATAAAAAAAGAGAGAAAGGACAAAAAAGGCCCCAAAAAATAAAGAAATAAGAAATAAAAAGGGACAATGCTACTATCCTATTTTTCCACACTTGTGCTTCAAAGTAGCACCATGATCTTTATGATAGAGAGTCTCTTGTTTTGTCACTTCATATACTAGTGAGAATTTTTCATTATAGAACTTGGCTTGTATATTTCAAGAATGGGCTTCCTCAAATGCCCTAGGTCTTCGTGAGCAAACAAGTTGGATGCACACCCACTTAGTTTCTTTTGTTGAGCTTTCATACATTTATAGCTCTAGTGCATCCGTTGCATGGCAATCCCTACTCCTTGCATTGACATCAATTTGATGGGCATCTCCCTAGCCCATTAATTAGCCTCGTCGATGTGATACTTTCTCCTTTTTTGTCTTCTCCACATAACCCCCATCATTATATTCTATTCCACCCATAGTGCTATATCCATGGCTCACGCTCATGTATTGCGTGAAAGTTGAAAAAAGTTTGAGATTACTAAAGTATGAAACAATTGCTTGGCTTGTCATCGGGGTTGTGCATGATAAGAACATTCTTGTGTGACAAAAATGGAGCATGACCAAACTATATGATTTTGTAGGGATGAAGTTTCTTTTGCCATGTTATTTTGAGAAGACATGATTGCTTAGTTAGTATGCTTGAAGTATTATTATTTTTATGTCAATATTAAAATTTTGTCTTGAATCTTTCGAATCTGAACATTCATGCCACAATAAATAAAATTACATTAAGAATTATGCTAGGTAGCATTCCACATCAAAAATTCTATTTTTATCATTTACCTACTCGAGGACGAGCAGGAATTAAGCTTGGGGATGCTTGATACGTCTCCAATGTATCTATAATTTTTTATTGTTCCATGCTATTATATTATCTGTTTTGGATGTTTAATGGCCTTTATTATACACTTTTATATTATTTTTGGGACTAACCTACTAACCCAAGGCCCAGTGCAAATTGCTGCTTTTTTTCCTATTTCACTGTTTCGCAGAAAATGAATATCAAACGGAATCCAAACGGAATGAAACCTTCAGGAGAGTTATTTTTGGAACAAACGTGATCCAAGGGACTTGGAGTAGACGTCAAGAAAGAAACAAGGTGGCCACGAGGCAGGGAGGCGCGCCTGCCCCCTTGGGCGCGCCCCCACCCTCGTGGGCCCCTCGCAGCTCCACCGACCTATTTCTTCCTCCTATATATATCCATATACCCTGAAAACATTCAGGAGCACCAACAAACCCTATTTCCACCGCCACAACCTTCTGTACCCAAGAGATCCCATCTTGGGGCCTTTTCCGGAGCTCCGCTGGAGGGGGAATTGATCACGGAGGGCTTCTACATCAACACCATAGCCTCTCCGATGATGTGTGAGTAGTTTACCACAGACCTTCGGGTCCATAGTTATTAGCTAGATGGCTTCTTCTCTCTCTTTGGATCTCAATACAATGTTCTCCTCGATCTTCTTGGAGATCTATTCGATGTAACTCTTTTTACGGTGTGTTTGTCAAGATCCGATGAATTGTGGTTTTATGATCAAGTTTATCTATGAACAATATTTGATTCTTCTCTGAAATCTTTTATGTATGATTGGTTATCTTTGCAAGTCTCTTCGAATTATCAGTTTGGTTTGGTCTACTAGATTGATCTTTCTTGCAATGGGAGAAGTGCTTAGCTTTGGGTTCAATCTTGCGGTGTCCTTTCCCAGTGACAGCAGGGGCAGCAAGGCACGTATTGTATTGTCGCCATCGAGGATAAAAAGATGGGGTTTATATCATATTGCTTGAGTTAATCCCTCTACATCATGTCATCTTGCCTAATGCGTTACTCTGTTCTTATGAACTTAATACTCTAGATGCATGCTGGATAGCGGTCGATGTGTGGAGTAATAGTAGTAGATGCAGAATTGTTTCGGTTTACTTGTCGCGGACGTGATGCCTATATACATGATCATGCCAAGATATTCTCATAATTATGCACTTTTCTATCAATTGCTCGACAGTAATTTGTTCACCCACCGTAATACTTATGCTATCTTGAGAGAAGCCACTAGTGATACCTATGGCCCCCGGGTCTATCTTTTATCATATAAGTTTCCCATCTATATTATTTTGCAATCTTTACTTTCAATCTATATCATAAAAATATCAAAAATATTTATCTTATTATTATTATTATTATCTCTATCAGATCTCACTCTCGTAAGTGACCTTGAAGGGATTGACAATCCCTTTATCGCGTTGGTTGCGAGGTTCTTATTTGTTTGTGTAGGTACGAGGGACTTGCGTGTAGTCTCCTACTGGATTGATACCTTGGTTCTCAAAAACTGAGGGAAATACTTACGCTACTTTGCTGCATCACCCTTTCCTCTTCAAAGGAAACCAACGCAGTGCTCAAGAGGTAGCAGGACACCGCCAGTCGAAGGGCATGGGCCATCGCCAGCGTCGACGCGGCTGAGGACATCTCCCGGCGAACCAATGGATCAAGAGGGTGGATGTGCTGGGTAGGATAGCAGATATGAGCAAGCCACTAGGGCTTGGCTACGAGGAGGGGTACGATAGCCACTCAGGTTATACGTTCCCATCAAGGATGTCGAGGACATTGCCATGCTTCTCATCCCCGAGGCCTTCTGGCCGATGACGAAGCAATGGCTCATCTTGAAACATCCTCGCATCCACAAGTTGTCTGCCTCTGCCAACAAATGGTGCGAGTTTTGGGTCCAAGTCCAAATCTTCCACAAGTAGATGATGTTGAGGAGGGACTCAAACTACTTTTGCCACAAGCACAAGATAATCCCTTGCGACTTGCTTGTCCTTAGGTTGTCGGGCCTGAGCTTCAAGATGCAGATCTACAGCTCGGGCACCTCCACCATGTGAAGGGTCAGGTGCACCGAGCATTGTTGTCAGGGCGGCATCGGTCATGCTCTTCCTCCCGTCGAGTTTGCTACAAAACAGTGCATCATACCAACTAATCAGTTTTACATGATGTTCTAGTTTGTATGATGCACTTTTTAATAGCATGCTAATGACAAGGAGTAGCGTTAATTGTGTTGTTGTTCATACGTGATGTCTGCTGTGAAGTGTTCTGTATTTGAGTGGAAGTCCATCATATTAAAATAGGTTGAGCAAAACAGCTACGTGCACACAACCAACCACCATGGTTTGCATCTGCTTACCCCTGAAGCACAATGCAGGTCCCCAAACAGCAGGCATAATCTGATCAATAATGCAATGAAGGCAACCAAACTATATGCAAAACATGATTTTTAGTATGCATTTACTCAGCCAGGCTCAGTCGAATCACACATCATTTTGATGCAGAGGCCGGAACTAATCTTTAAAAAAAAATGTTGAGTCACACATGCACGGGAATCCAAGTCGGCCAACACATTGAGATTCTGAATGAGGATGCGGTACATAACATTGGAGGGAGCTCTTCTTATCTGCACCTGAACCTGCTGAATGCTGTCAGCTCTCTCTCGTTCATTCAGGCCGTAGCCACATTTCTTTGCTCAGCACCGCCTGTCCAAGTATTCCCTTCATTTCATAATGTAGTGTGTCTGTGCTTTTTAAGATTTAAATTTGATCATAAATTTAACCAACATGGGCGACTGCGTCAGGAGCAAAAATTATACTATTGAATTTCAAAAAGTGTGAGCACACTACATTATGAAATGAAGGAAGTTTCTGTTTTCGGAGAGTGTGATTGGTTCTACCTCTTAGCATTTGTTACTTGCCTATGTGGAACAAAGGTCGAATTGGATTCAAAAGTCATTCTTAAACATTGGCCGAGGATTTCTCGACGCCAAAGCACGGACATTCAGCTACTCCCTCTGTCCCAAAATCAAAATGTAAGTTCTTTTACACTATCATAGTGTAAAAAAAGTCTTTACATTTTGGAATAGAGGGAGTAGTAGATTAACCCACAAGTCTGGTCCCGCAGGGCGCGCAAAATAGCCAAGCTCTTTAATCAAAACTGAAGCAAATGATGCGACAGGAACACCCGAGTGCTTACATGCGCAGGCAAGGCACACATTTGTACATGTGATCTTGGAAATGTGGCAAATGGATATATGTGTTTACTAGTAGGATCATAATAATGCCATGATATAAATAATAAAAACAGTGACATATCAATCACGGCACTTGACTAGCAGCACATTAGGCATTATATATATAAACATTGGTCGACGATTAATCGATAAAAAACTTGCTTCTTGGTATGCAGTAGCAAGAGAAACAAGAGTAAGTTTACAGATTGGCCGAGATTCGACATGGCTACAGCAGACGATTAAGCTAACTTTTCCACCCAGAATTTGGATCTCAGCAGGATGACTTGCGTTTGAACTCAGGTGACCTCTGGAGAAGCAGCTGGCCTTCCATGCCCGAGGGAGAAGGTTTGCCCCCCGGGCTGTGCATGTTGATCGAGCTGACGGAGAGCTGGTGGAACACGGAGGAGCTCAGCGCGTCGGTGGCGGTGCCGCACATGACGCCGCCTGAGGACAGCTCCGGGAGGCTCTGGTCGGAGACGCTGAAGCCGCTTGAGGCGAACTGCTCCGAGACGATCTTGCAGGCCTTCTCCAGCAGGGTGTTGATGTACGTCGTGTACGCGTCCATCCTGATGTCCACATGCTTCTGAACCTGATCATTTATGGTGGAAAGAAAAAGGCGGTCAGGTGTCGCGTGATGGACATCTCATTCATACTTCAATGCTAAACGTACTCCAACCTTAAATATGTACGTACTCCCTCTGTAAACAGATATAACTTTAGTGATCTAGACGCTCTTATATTTCTTTACAGAGGGAGTAGAAACTAGCGAGCACACAGGAGACAAGAACCAAGAATATGACAGAAGAAGCAGTCAAATTTACCTCCACTTGTTCATGCAGGCTTCGTTGCATTTCCATCTGTGCTCTCAGGGCTTCTTTAACTTCTTGACTTCTGCAGCGAGTGATTATAAAGTTCGTAAGCATGTATGTAGCTCTTTCAGATAGCACTATCAAAGTAGATATCGTAAATGTACTCGTATTCTTCCAAAAAAAAGGCATGAAGGACAAGGAGTAGCTCGTGGAATTTACTCTTTCGCATCTTGGGTAGAAACTCTGGGAGACAGGCTCATTCCACCTTGAGCATCAAGAAGATAGGACCCTGCAAATTGGGGAAACCGGGGAAGGCAGAAACAGAACTGAAATCAGAAATGACATGACCTAAAAGGAATTTTCCAGAGGTTTTCTATCAGAAATGGCAAGACCTAACAGAATTTTTCAAGAGATTTTTCAGGCCAGGACTATAGATGTGCATATTAGTCCTGAATTTCTTCATAAAATCATTGCAAAACTCATGGTTTATAATTTGACATACGATAGTCATTTGTTATTTTTGTGAAGTTACTGGTGATTGACAAGAAGAAATCATACAACGAACTGCATTAATCAATGTGTGTGGGATAAGTAGTGCTAGTACGCAAGGCAGATGCATCCTAAAGATGCAAGGACACAGCTGAGAAACTGACAGCACTGTTGATTTATAACCTTTAAAAAATTAAAACTTAAATGACCAGATCTTATCATTAAACAGCGATGAGCTAAAAACAAGACAATAGAAGTGCATTAAACAAGACTTCTCTTCTCATTTGCAAACTTTAAAATTTAAATGACCAGATCTTATCTAACTGTTGATTTATCTATACTGCTATATAGTGTAGCAATTTTGGAAGTTTGAATCCAAACATCAGAATTCAATTTCTACCGTTGATTGGACTCATCCAAGGGCCTAGGATGCTTGGATTCACAGCTACAGTAGCAAGCAGACTTCTCCAAGTCGTTCTAGAAACATCCGTGAATCAGCCCTGACCCCTTTCCGTCCCTAAAATAAAAGCAATAGCCCCTTCCATGTCCCCCCTTCTTACTATCACCCGATAGACGTGAACAGCCATATGTGGCGAGCACTTCGATGGAATCGCATCTACCGACAGTGCCGTATAGCGTAAGGCTGGTGTAGCATACATAATTCAACCAAGCGCACATACATGGCAGTCTCAGTTTACATGTGGGAACATGTGATGCATGTGAAGCTAACTAGTATGTGTAGTATATATTCTATCTGAACCCTTGTTTTCAGTTTGCCTTATGCATTGTGTTGGCCTATGGCTAAAAACTCTTGTAAACTTAACTTGCTTCTCCTTTTAATGAAAAGATGTGCAACTGCTTTTTGCACATTCTCCAAAAACATCCGGCAGCTCAGAGCTGCATCCACATACATGCATGTATCATGTCATGGCTGGTACAACAGAAACCAAAGCAGTACCAATACTGGAATGGAGTTACAAAGATTCGATAAAGAAAGCGTAACTGCAGTGGGAAAGTGCAATTCTAGGATATATCCAAAACACCTACCTTAATTTTCAAGCATTTGCACGTGAACTTGTGAACACAATATTATGTTGCAATAAGCGAAATGTCAACAAACACTAAAGTTGCTATTGTTAACCAAGCAAGATCAAGTTCCAAGTTTTTTCCTCTTTAATTACATGTAGATACAAAATCATGATGTGATGAACCAATTCATATTTTTTGTTAAAAGGAACTCTGCCTGGGGGGAAAGGCCACTGGGCATTTTTACCATCGCTCTGTCAACGCATTCACAACCAATTCATATTAACGTAATTATGGCAAGTGCATAGCTGCAGATAATGGTTGCTTAACTGTATTACCTACGATGTAAAAGACACTAATTCTTTCAAATGCACAACGATAACAATCCAAAACTTTCTGCTACAATACACACTAAAATTTTGCTATAGTTGATGCAATACTGTGTCAAGTGAAAAAATAAATACACCCATCTATACAAAAATTCTCCCTCACTCGTCAGTCCCCACTATCTTCCTTCCACAGATCTTTCCCAATGAAGAGATGTGCATCATAAGCAACCAAACAAATATTAGTCTAGGCTGCCTGCCATCACCAAACCCGGAAACTCCCACCAATCCTAACCTTTCAAGAAGTTTGCACTAAGTGGTTCTTTGCAACATACAATGAATCTGGTCCAAACTGATTAATCGACAGAACACTGAGATCAGTGGAGATCAGTAGACTGCTTTATAGTATTACTTACCATCTTTAGATTGCTCCGGCGTCTCTTTGCCAGTTTGTTTCCCCATTCTGTATTTCTGGTCATAAGAATAAAAGAGCAAATACAAATTAAAACAGTTGTATTCGAGATCTAGTAAGAAGCATGTGTGTATGCAGAAGTACCTGAAGATGACTCTTCAAGTGGAACAGCGTGAGTCCCTTTACACCCATTGTCCTTAAGATAGTTTTTGGTGTTGCTTCTGCAAGAGCAATCATGCATTTAACTACTATATTCAAACGTTTATTAAAAAAAGGTCATAGTGAGATAGTAGGTTACAGCGATAGCATTCAACTCTAATACAAAATGGAAATTTAGGGTTCTCACATGGTTAGATTATAATTTGGCATTCACATGCATATGGATATCATGCAAACAGAGATTGTTGTGCCCCAGGAACCAAGATTCAAAATGATGGAATGCAACAAATAATTGAACATATTTGCTTTCCGGCTATGATCATTACTATTGTCATCGGAATAAAATGCTCATTATTATTGTCAGCTAAACAGGACTTTAACTTGTAGCCTTTTGAATTTACATAAAGATTTCCTGACCAATATGGTGCCAGAAATGAATGCACCAAACATGAACAAAATCTCACAAAACCGTCAAGGAAAGGTACTTTTTGCATTTTCTTTCACAAACAAACAGTCAGAAGCAACAGGCACCTGAAATCACAGATTCACTTGTATCCCAGTCCTACAAATAACAAGAAATACAACACATGGTCGAGAAATCTATGTTTACTGATGGGCATGCGGTAACTAACCAACTTGAGAAAAATAGTCGCAAAAATCATACATAACATTTACCTAAATTATAATTCTTAATAAAAAGTCAGTGTTGAGAGGAAAAGTGTAAAAAGGAAAAGCTGACCTTTGACAGGAATAAAAAGTCAGTATTGAGAGGAAAAGGGTACAAAGGAAAAGCTGACCTTTTGACAGGATAAGCAGCATTAGCAATCACCCCCAAAACCCAGGCAATTAACTATAATGGTTTAAAACAACTGAAACCAAATAAAATACGTAAGGCCAAGAGGCTAAGACAGTGAAGAAAAAGACCCACTTCGTAAACCGCCTTTGTGCTATTTCCACACAACTTACAATGCCTCACAAACACACGCGCACACTGACAACAATGAACATTATCATCAAGACTTGGTGTATCATGAATGTCCACCATATTACTACTCCCTCTGTAAAGAAATTTAAGAGCGTTTAGATCACTACTTTAGTGATCTAAACACTCTTATATTTCTTTTACGGAGGGAGTACAATTTACCACCGCAACCAGCATACATGATCGTTACTCTGCCAAGCTTCTAAATATTTCTAAAAATCAACCGATACGACCGATATATCATCCAATATTTCCTTTTTATTTTGAGAACATGCAAGTCACTGCATGTATATGCATTAGATAGAAAGAAAGATGCCCGATATTTCAGTACTGGTGATACCAATACCAAATCAACTATCATTTGAAAATAATAATTCTACAGATATTGGCCGATATGGACGATATTTTGACAGATATTTTAGTCGGCATGCGCCGATATGTAGGTGACAGGTCATTTTTATCAAAGAACAAATCACTGAACAGGAAATTTATACATGTACTACTTCATCAGATTATTAAATTAATGTGCAATTTATGTAAAGGCACGTCTATAACGTTTTACCGTCATAATAAAGATTTGGCGAGTGCTTATTTGGCCATTTCTTATGCAAACTGCCAAAAAACCTTTATTTATACACTTGATATGCTCAAGTGTGTTTATTATATGTGGGAGTGGCATGATCTAAACACATAACTGAATCCATGTGCACATTTTTGTTTCGATACGTCTAACACATCATCCGATATATCGCCTGACATCCGATATTGCCAAGGTCGAACCGATATGAACCCGATATTTTGAAACTTGTCCACAGCTGCCTATTTGTTCAAATTCTGATATGATGCAAGCAACAAATATGACCTTATCCGAGCACAGATAAACTAAAATAACGACCATAACCCCAGACGTCATTAAAGAAAAGCAAACCTTGCATCCCCAATAAACAAGCCCCTGAGTGCGCAGAAACTTCTTTCCTTATTCAATGGATCATCGACATTTCTCTCTAGAGAGCATAATGAAATTATTAGTCCCTGCAGCGTGCTGGAATCCAATATCAGCCAAAATGACCTTTTCATCTGAACCAAAAGCCTCAAACTAAGACCAACCATATAGCCCTCGCAAGGCAAGACACATCTCTTCCCAGCTCAAAAGCAAGCAAAATCTGCCATGAGTAGACCGATGCCAAATCCAAGGGCGCGCTGAATCCTAAGCGCAAATGCACCGCTCCTCGTCCAACAGCGCGCATTTCAGCGAAGTGCTGTTGTTCCAGGTAACAAAGATCCAAACGTTGATCCAGACTTCCCTAAAACTTTGAGCGCAGACACCCCCAATGGCTCAAATCCTTGGCTCCAATCCAGCAAGTGGCCTCACATGCCGCGCTCGAGTGAAAGCGCACGGTCGCACCAACCAAGAAAGAGAACTCCCACCCAGCAAGCACGCATTGCCCTCCAATGGCCATCCCTGACGAACCGGAGAGCGGAGAGAAACGGGGGAGAGGGGGAGGGGGGAGCGTCTCACTCTCGGGCCCGCCGAGCTGGGCGACGGCGTCGACGAAGCGCTCGTGGAGGTCGGCCGTCCACCGGAGCCTGGGCTTGGGGTCCGCCGTGAGCACGAGGCTGGGCGCGCCGCCGGAGCGCGGCACCTCGCCGGGCCCCGGGCCGTCCGCGCGGTGGTGGATCAGGCCAGGGGGGAACATCTCCTCCTCCTGCTGCTCCCCAGCCAAGAAGGGAGGTGGAGGTGGAGAGGGACAGAGACCTTCTCCTCCTTCGTCCCCAAAAGCGAAGGATCCAACGAAAAGTTCCTCGCCTTTCTCTCTCCTGTTTCCCCCTTCTCTTCTGCGGCCTTTTTCCAGTCGTGGTTTGTTCCCCTCGGCCCCCCTCTCTCTCTCTCTAGCTCGCCCGGTGATTTGTGAAGCCCTCCTGCACATAACAATGGTGATTAGCGCAGATCAACGTCATTTTCTACTGTTCTTAGATTGACACATCCAACTTACTTCCGGTGTTAAATTATCTCGCCAATATCGTCTTTTCCCCACCAATTCAGCCGAAGTTGCAAAGAGAAATGAAGAACTTGCACTGCTCATTTACTGCCAGGAGAAGAACGGATGATGAGCCCCTGGTTGCTGCTGGTGCCGCTGCGCCGCAATGATTGGCGCATTGAATTTTCAGCAGCTCCCTCTGGCTTCTCGATCTGTCGCTGTGCGTGTTTGGTGAAGAGCAAATTGGCAACTGGGTTTAGTTTACTCTGGTTTTCCCGTTTCCTTAAAGTAAAAGCTAGTGGATGGACGCTAGCTAGCTCGGCTCATGCGAGGACCCAACGCCGGAACAGACCACTGGCTGCACTGCTCCATTTGTTTATTTTCCCCCACTTCTGTGATGCGTGCAAATAAAAATACTGCCCTGCACATGCTCGTGTCTGCGCCCGGACGTCATGCGCGCTTCCGCTTCCGCGCCTGGAAATCCAATTCTGAAAAGTTAATTTCATTTCTAGCTGCTTGTGGAACAGCCGGTGGCCAGTTGATATATTATAAGAAGTTGTTGATTAACGCGTTTGGGAAGAGAAAAACATGAAAGGGCATCTTAAGGGCGCGCTTGGATTGGATGTATTTGAATACACCGGTATTTAACTTACAGGTGTAATTTACCGAGCTGCGAAGGAGTTTCGGCTGGAAATGAAACGGCCGACGGAGGTCCGTATATTTTCTACAAGGGTATTTGAGTGGAAACGACAATCCAAACATGCCCTGAGTGTGCTTACTTGGTTGACTAAATTTGGGGTATCTTCAAGGCAAGAGAAAGGAGCGTAAGGGCAACTCCAACGCCGGTCCATGTCTGTGGGGTTAGGATCCTCTGCTGTAACGCAGCGTACGGTCATTGTCGTGTGGACCCGGTCCCATGTGTCATCCGCATTATAACACGGTACAGTACTGCAGAGGATCTCAATCCATGTCTGTGGCATGGCACAACGCGCGACCGCGTCCGCATTTTTTGTCTGTTTGACGTCCGGCCCACCTCATTTCTGATGTAAACTTACACCCGATTAGCATTCACACGAGCGTTGAAGGGACGCCCACGCGCCCGCTCCGTGCCCACCTCGGGCCCGTGTGGCAGCCGCCCACCTACTTCTCATCGTTCACGGCGCATGTGTGGGCGACCCCACCTGGCAGCCATCCAACCACCCGGTCGTCGTCCTTTTTAATGTGAAAGCCGTGGACCGGCCAATCCACATGCTCCCACCTCCATCTAGGTGTGCCTCCTCGAGCCCCGACACGCAAACCCTAGCCCCCCAAGCTCTTCCACCTTCCCTCGTCGACGGCAATGGCTGGCCGCTGGTTCCCTAGCCACAAGACAAGGAACGACCACGAGGTCGGGTCGTCATCCGGCCGCCGTCACAGCTCCACCCCTCCACCACCGTCTCCTGCAGCATTCCACATCGCGTCAAGGCAAACATCTGCAAGCGGTATTGGGAGACGGGCACGCTGCTCCCGTGGGACGACGTGCACCTCTCCATGGATCGGGTGCCCATTCCACCAATCTCGGTGTCGTCGATTCCCCATTGTGGGGTACTTAGCTGCACGACGAGCACGATCTACGCCGGCAATCTTATTTTGTCGACCGTGCTCTGAGCCCGCCACACGCACGCGGGCGTAGGCTGGTTCGCGGCCTGACGCCAACCCCTTCGCCAACGTCGTCCCCACCACTGCCCGCTCCAATGACCACCGACGAGGAGGAGGCGCTGATGAGGCTGGTGATGGAGGACTCCCTCCACACCCACAGTGAGCGCAAATGCAGGGCCTGGAGGAGATAATGGCCTTGTTAGCGGCTGGCGACTTCGCCTTCCCGGAGCTGGACGCCTACGTCAAGGAGGAGGCCATGAAGGATGTCCGTGCGGAGGCGCGGAGGGAAGAGGAGCTGACGGGATGGAACATGGCCTTGGTTGGGCAGTCCTGGTCGTGAACGGAGATCGTGTCGTCAAAGCCTGAGCCTCGGTGGTCACCGTCCCCGCCACGGGAGGAGGTCGTGCAGGCACCACCACAACCACCACAGCAGGTGCCTCCGGCCTGGCAGGGGCTGCCAGCCCATCTCTGGCAGCCATCGCCATACGTAGAACTCACCGGGGACGATGATGATGAGGAGAACGGTGGCTATTGAAGACGACGGTGGTCGCGGCAGCGACGGGCCTTTATCTAGTTTTTTTTAATGTTTTTAAGTTTTTGTATATATTAATGTGGTGAACTCGGGTACTATGGACGTTTTAATGTTTATATTAATTTTTTATATTATTTGCAATGTTTATTTGGGTCTTTTGGGTAAAATTTGAAGTCCAAAAAAGGGACAGTTTGGGATGCAGTGGGCCGGTTGGACGCACTGACGACGGCACGACCGCAAGCGAACGGCGTGTCTGTTTTTCTGCCCCAAACGTACAAAACGGACGTCCGTTTGGGGTCGTGCGTTTGCATTGCCCTAAAATCTAAACAAATAGCACGGTACAACCCCCACTAAACATATAAAAGATATTATAAACCGTTGTCAAATCGTACCCACTTTAGTATGTATTGGGGTTGACCCGCTGGTTCACGTGCGCCGTACTTTCGACTGCTCTAACCGCTGGTACGATCCAACAAAAAAAGAAAGAAACATGTCGCCTTCACCCCTCACCCCACCCAATCTGAAGCCCTAACGATTAGTTGCCGCCGTCGTGACTCCGGCGGGCGGCCATTTCCAATCATCATCGTTAGGCTCATAGGCGTCATCACACGTCACCTTCCACGTGCTTCCTCATGGCACACGGCATTGTAGTCGCCACCCTCCCCAGCGCCAGCACGTCGTCGTCAAAATTCCCCCTCGTCCTCGCACCCCCACACACGCGTTGCCGCCCCTGGTGGAAGGCGCCAGAACATTGTCGTTAACGCCCCTACCCTCTCCCATGCCGCCAACCAAGCCGAGGACAATGCGACACCCGACCTGCATTGAATCGACAAAAGGTTTGCGTATTTGCACTTTTCTTGTCGCAATTGTAATTCAATACATATTGAAATGGGGTGAAAATTCAGCCTTGCCTGGACAATTTGACAATGGCTTTATGCACATCTTAATGATTCCAAATAAATTTATGTGGACCACAATTATGACATGTACTTTACTTTCGCACATGTTTTTTTACATCACACATCGTGGTCTCGCAATTGAACTGATTATATCTGTGATGATGTTGTGTAGTGTTCGGATTGATGGCACACTTCATTTGACGGTGCATCGATGGAGCATCAAATCGGATATGCAGGTGATGATTCTGGTAGCGAGAATGAATCCTCCTCATCGAATGTCAACCCACGTCCCGAGGACGACATTTTACTATAAGTGACGCGAACGTTGACAAAAAATTATGACAAACAACAACATTGGCACTTACATGTCTTACTTTAGATCAGTACAGATACATGTTGATGATGACCATGAGCACAACAATGTAGATGAATCTTATGCTGAAAGCGCGAGCTAGATATGTTGAAAAGTATGCAGGACAAGGAATGATATAACAACAACATTAGCACTTACATGTCTTACTTTATTTGTACAAAGTAGATGTGGATGATGAAATGAGCAGAACGATGTCGATGATGACAATGAGCAGAACGACATCGATGAATCTTATGTTGAAAGCGCGAGCCAAGTACAATAAAAAAGGTATAGTGCAAGGAACGATATAACAACTAAGTGCTTACATGGTTCTTTGTCTAATTTTACAGGGGGTGGTCCTAGTGGGCACGATGACCTTGACGATGATGTTGAATTTGAACTGGACATTGGGTATGATGAATATCAACAAAGAGTCCCTGGATAGGCATTGGATGGTAATGGCAAAGACGTTCGGCTCAGAAGGGGAGGCGTATGTGTTCTACAACAAGTATGGGAAGGAATGTGGGTTCAACATTAGGAGTGACTTGCTGAAATGAGGAAAAGGTGCCACAGGAAGTATCCACTTGAGGAGGTATGTTTGTTCCAGGGCTGGAAAAAGGCAGAGCAAGTTTTTAACAATGGAAGGTCGGAACCGTAGGCTTAGAGTGAAGACTTAGTGCTATTGCGAGGCTCATTTAACTATGAAGTTTGATAAAACTCATGCAATTTTGGTATGTTGGCAGTTCACTAATGATCACTGATAACCCACAAGTATAGAGGATCGCAACAGTTTTTGAGGATAGAGTATTCAACCCAAATTTATAGATTCAACACAAGGGGGGTCAAAGAATATTTGCAAGTATTAGCAATTGAGTTGTCAACTCAACCACACCTGGAGATTAAATATTTGCAGCACAGTGATCAGTAGCACAGTAATATGATAGTTTTGATAGCAGTGGTAACAGTAACGGTAATAGTAATAGTGATAGCAACGGTTTTGTAGCAAGTGTAACAATGACAACATCAATAGTAACTTAGCAAGAACAATATGTGGAAAACTCGTAGACATTGGATCAGTGAATTCGTTGGATAATATTCATCATATAACAGTCATAACCTAGGGCGATACAAAACTAGCTCCAGTTCATAAATATAATGTAAACGTGTGTTCCGTAAATAGTCATATGTGCTTATGGAAAAGAACTTGCATGCCATCTTTTGTCCTACCCCTCCTGTGGCAGCGGGGTCCATAAGGAAACTAAGGGATAATAAGGCCTCCTTTTAATAGAGAACCGGAACAAAGCATTAACACATGGTGAATACATGAACTCCTCAAACTTCGGTTATCACCGGAAAGTATCCCAATTACTATCACACTCAGGTTTACGGATCATAACACATAATAGGTGAATATGATTTGCAAGATCGGATATAGAACATAGATATAATGGTGAAAACATAAATGGTTCAAATCTGAAATCATGGCACTCGGGCCCTAGTGACAAGCATTAAGCATAGCAAAGTCATA